AACGTCATGCTTCTAAAACGTCAAGCGTTTAAAACGTCGTGCTTCCAAAAATGTGATGCTTCCAAAACGTCTTTTAGAACAATCTAGGACATCTTCTAACTATGATCGAGCACCTTATTCGACACATAGTTCACTCAGGATCAATTCTTCGACCACCTCGTTCTTCAAAACTTTGTGGCCAATCTTTATCGCCCGTGATTCGACCACCAAATTGATACTCGACCAATCTTCTCAACCAATCGATCTTGACCATCTTATCTTGAAGGGTGGGTTATCAAATTCTCCCCCCCCCCTTAATAGAATTCATCCTCGAATTCTTAGTTGCACAAATTGCTTTGCTTCACGACACACAAACCGTCCAATAAGTTTTCTATTTCAATTTGGTGATGTTTTATATTCGTTACAATGGTTCTCTGATAAATAGACTTGTCCGGTTTAAACACAACGTTAGATCTTGGAACGTGTTGAAAAGCCTTAGGCCTCAATCTGATGGAACCGTTAAATTATGGTACAGGTTGCAAAGCCTTATGCCTTGAGTTAGCGGGACATGTTAGTGGACAAACTGGTCTAGGTTGCGGATTAAGTTATGTGACTCTGACCGGATTGTCCCTATCCCGTCATGTTATCCGGACCATGGTGTTGGGTTGGACGTTCAATGAATTAATATAACAAAAAGGAAAACTAATATAAAAGCCGAAAATAAAATTCTGAGTCACGGTGCATCACTACTCCATTAAATGAATTTACCATAATAATTCAACGTAATTTATTTTATTTGTTAATCATAATAATTTCACATGTTTGAATGGAATTGTTCTATTAGTATAAGAATTCGAACCGACAAACAAAAAAAATATTTGATTACATATGGGCATTCAGATACACGTTCAGATACATATCAATTTTTTGAGTATCGGTTGTTTTTAATTTTAATATTATCCTGTTTGGATATTATAAATTTTTGGACGAAATTTGAGTCGGATTCTTCCAGATTCGTAAAAACCAACATATATATATATAACTATTATCAAACCATTTATAAAAGGTAAAAAACAAATTATGCACGAATAGGTAGATCAAGCTCTAGTATGATTTTAAAATATAAATCGATGAATTTCACAACAATAAAGAATTGAAATGGCGATGGGAAGGACAATTTCCAGCTTCACCACAGTCTGATTTCTCCACGATCACCACTGGTTCTGATCCACTGCCATCAACGCTTGGGACTCCTTCCTGTATCTGTTTGTTTCGTCGAGCAATGGAGAGGGTATTTTCTCAGAAGACAAGCCATATTTCACTCACACGCCTCGATCTATCCAGCTTTATGATCATTCCTATGATACTGGGAATGGAATCCTTGTTCCGATCTATTAACAGCCTGATCATACATTCAGTTCCTTGACTGTTTGTTCTGATTTCTGGGGATACAAACTGACGTAAAAACTGGTTAGGGTATTGGCGAGAATGATGGAGACTTTCACCAGGGATTTGGATTTTCAATACACCATCTCCTCCATGGAATAGTTCACTCTCTGGTGCTCTCCTACACTGCCATATTTCGTGTTCATACATCCATTGGTGTATCGAGTTTTCTCCCTGCATATCTGGACATCACTTGTGTTCACTACAAGAAATATGGGTTTTATTAGCGGATGTTAAATGCTATAAGATCACTACCATAGCGCTCCTTAAAACGCTCTGGGATCGCCCGTCATAATAGGTCCGACACTTTCGATAGCGAAACAGTCGTATGCAATTGTTAATACTTAAAATAAACAACAATAGCGGTGTTGTCTATGCAATTGTTAATACTTATAATAATGATATACAAATGTTATTAAAACTCATTAATTTGATGCTACCTATACAAAGAGAGCAATGATTCATGTTATTAATTTAATTTTAAATTATCAGAAAATTTATTAAAAATATTTACGAATTGATTTTATATTAAAAAAAATATTTCTTTATTAAAATCAGTTTTACAAAACTAAACCTGACCAAAACCTAATCCTAATTTTACAAAACTAATTAAGCCAAACCAAAACCAAAACCTAAGAGCATCCCCATTAGGGGTTCTAACGCGGTTCGTCACGGATTCGCCACGTGGCAGGCTGTGATTCGCCAATTTTTTTTTTTTTCGAAAAAGTAAAAAAAAATATATATATATTTTTTTTATTCCTATGAACCTCTCCGCATCAGGTTCACTGATGGGGATGCTCTAATATTACAAAACTAAAACCAGCATCTTGTTCTTCTCCAAGCCCAACCTCTACTCCTTCGGCTTCACGGATGTCTCCACTTCAGGCTTCACCATTGACATGAAAGATATCTTCCGGCTACACAGCTTCTCCTTCTCAGCGTCCTAATACACACAAAAGAAAACCAAAGACTAAAATAGCTCCATAAAAACCAAAACTATTATAATTAAGCAAACAAATTCTGGATTACCTCAATGAAGTTTTAGTATACAGCTAAAAACAATCTTTGCACATTAGGATGTTTCTGATCAAGCTGAAGCTCCTTAGAAATTATCTCCAAGCCATAGTGCTAAAAGGCAGAAGCATCAGCACAAATGTCTCTACAAGCACACAAATATCACAAGAATGTAATGTAATTCCTCTTACCATATAGATAAGCCCTGCGCTGCTGAGTTTGGTATTAAGCTGATGACCAAACACTTCAGTGAAGCCTTATTGGTGGTGGTCATAACGTTCACTCTCAGGATCATACACACCACCAACATCAAGAGTCGCATCAAGTTTCTCCAAAACCTTGTAACCACATCACTAACCAATCAAGATTGTAACTTTACAAGCAAAACAATACAAAATATACGACCTTAAGCTATTCTCAGACCCATTGCTCCAGAATTTTCAAAACCCCAAACTGAATCCAAAGGNATCATACACACCACCAACATCAAGAGTCGCATCAAGTTTCTCCAAAACCTTGTAACCACATCACTAACCAATCAAGATTGTAACTTTACAAGCAAAACAATACAAAATATACGACCTTAAGCTATTCTCAGACCCATTGCTCCAGAATTTTCAAAACCCCAAACTGAATCCAAAGGTAGAAACTTTGCATAGATAAACGTTCAATTAGATGGTATAAAGGCCGAATCGAACCTGATGATCTCTGGTATGGACGATCTGGGCACATCTTCTTTTAACTAAGAACATAAAACCAACACTGGAATCAGAACACAGAGAGAAAGAGAGAAGTAGAGAGAGAGATAGAGACGAGGCTGGAGACGCAGCTCTGTAACACCACTTCTTCTCCTTCCATGCCCCTTCTTAGATCTGTAAACAAAACAAAAATCAATTACAAGTATACAGGAAGACGAAGAGAAAGAGAGAACAGATAAGAGGAAGGTGAAGTGGGTTTACCTGTCATGGTGGTGAGGAGATCAAACGATCTCTGAGACGAGGTCTGGTGGAGAGATTAGCGAAGAAAAAAAAGGTGGAAACAAAAGAGAAGAGAAAGGGACGGGAAGAACAAAAGAGAAGAGATTAGGGAGATAGATCTTGTCCATTAGATTTAGGTTAATCCAACGGCGGTTGTTGAAAAGGGCTGATCCTCAACCTTGTATATTATTCGTCAGCTGTTTTAACCAATCAAAAATTTTAGTTACTTTTCTATTCTATTTTGTTTTAATACACAAAGTATTAATGGTAAAATTGTAATGTACATAAATTATTTGAGATAAAATTCAAATATTTACATTTGAATTTAAAATTTTAGTTTTTTAGTAATGTTTGGGGTTTATAAATTGAAATTATAGTTTATGAAATAGATTTTAGGGTATAGAATTATGAAATAGAATTTGGGGCATATAATTATGTATATAGTTTTAGATTGGATATAAATTTTGAAGTTTAGGTTTTATGATTTAAGGTATCAACTTTAAACTCATTTTTTCTCTAAACACATTCTTAAAACTTTAAATTCATGGTATTTGAAACCCTAAACTCTAAATTCATTCTTAACTTCCAAATTTTTTAAACAACCTAAACTCAATCTTAAATGTAAACACAAACATNCTCTAAACACATTCTTAAAACTTTAAATTCATGGTATTTGAAACCCTAAACTCTAAATTCATTCTTAACTTCCAAATTTTTTAAACAACCTAAACTCAATCTTAAATGTAAACACAAACATTATTCATACATTTTCAAATCTTATACCTAACCCTCGAACATTTATTTCTATCTTTATCTATAATCTAAAATCTAAAAACCACTCACATACCTTTATAGTTTAGGGGTTATAGTAGAGAGGTTATGTTTAGGGGTTATAATTTTAGGGTATTAGATTTATGGTGTAGATTTAAGATTTAGCATTTAAGGTCTAGAATTTAAATGTGTGCTTATTTTTTAAAAATGATTTAATTTTGAGTTTAAATTTAATATTGAAGTTATATTATGAAATATTGAAGTTTTGAAGTTTATGTTTAAGGATTAGAGTTTAAACCCTAAACTTTAAATACAACTCTTAAAATTTAAATATTTTCTTATTTTAATCATTATTTTAATCATTATTTTAATTTTAAATTCAAAATTAATATTTTATATTCTAACTTTAAAATTAAATCTACACCCCAAACCCCAAACCATAAACGATACCTATATCATACCCTAAATTAATCATATATCTTAAACTCTAATTAAAAATCTTTAAACTCTATTTTTATGATTTAATTTCAAATTTTAAATCTAATCTGAAAGTTTAATATTAAATCCAATTAAACCTAAAACACTGAACTCCAAACCCTATAATTATATATATATCTTAAATTTATTTAAATAGGTACTTTATATATAAACGATAATTTGATTATTAAATATAACATTTTATATAAAATTTTAAATTTATTGAGCAGTCATAAAAAATGTTATTTACAAATCAAAATTTTAAACATAACCTTTATAAATATCGTTCTTTTGTTATCCTCCTCCATTTTCATAGTTAAAAATATATTGCATAAATTATAAATTGTTGTCATGTGATTCACATAAGCCATCAATTAGTCTTGTGCATCCAAAATATATATAAACCAAACAATAGCCATGTGCATCAGCATGAACCAAGCTAGACTTCGAACCAGCAGCTATCTCATCGACATCACATGTTACAAGAGCGAGATCAGAGTAATGTGCATCAGCATGAACATCCCTTTGCTTCCAACTGAGATTACTGAGACTCTTATCCACCAACTTAGACTTTGTGTCTTGATCATTCCTCTGTTTCAATCATCTCAATGTGAAAAAATAAGAAACAGAACATGTACCTAGCGCAATAACTTGTAAATCTTACATTTTTTAGTTGAAGAACAATGGTTTCTCCTTCCTTTAAGTTGTAATCGATAGATGAAGTGTTTTGAAAGTGTTTTTCCATTTCTTCTGCTGTTTTCTTCTTGTTCAAGTACCTTTAGCAAAGAGAAAGACAAGAGATATCTACAAGTCAAAAACAGAGTTTTTCTATGTTAGACTAGCTGCACAATCATTGAGAAGACCAGGTTAAGCTCTATAGTTACCTGCTACTGTCGATAACGGCTTCTACATGATAAGGTTCACCATCACGCAGAAAGGCCTGAGCGTAAAGTTCCCCAGTGGTTTTATCTACAAGTTTATTAATGCATTCTTCTCCTTTGCTCACCACTTTCAATTCTCCTTCCCATGCCCATTTGTTCACGTCCCACTCATCTGCTCTACAAGGATCAATCATATAAAAGGTATCAGTGAATGTCTCTCTCCATATTCCAACAGATTACTCAGATGCATCTTTGGCCTAAGAAGAGCCAAGTTGAGTTGATAAAAAGCGAATGTAATTAGAAAACAATGACTATCTATTTACAAATTAAGGATAAGCTAACATTCCTACTAACTTCAGGAACTGTTTGAATAAGTTATGTTCCGAGTTATTGGTCACTAGGTAAGCATGAAAAATGGTTACTGCAAGAATCTCCACTTAAACACAACAAAAAGAACTAACATTGAACCAACAACTACAACAGAGAGGAAACCGCACAACAACAAAAAAAAAAACAGAATCTGAAAAAGAGATATAGGATTAAGAGAAAGAGCTTACGTTTTAACACGAGAGGAAATAGTAAGTCCTTGTATCTGAGCTTCAGCGTAAACCATAACATTAAATGCTTCACTACCCTGAAATCAAAATCAATCGAAGTTGGAGAGAGAGAGAGAGAGAGAGACTACGATATGATAGTGGCGATGGGAGAGAAAGGAACATAGACTTGTGAAGGGTTTAGTGAAAGGAACAGAAGCAGGTCTTTTAGGGTTTGGTCTGTAAAGGATTGAGTGAAAGGAACGATTTTTAGAAGGTAGGGAGCGTGTCCTCGTCCGTGTGAACCATCCTGATTCATGGTCCTTTGTACATCAAGCTTCGTCACACTAGAACCAGCTCGAAACCACACCATCTTCAAGCTTTCAACTTTCAGCGCATGATGAAAAAAACGAACAAGGAGAGGGTCGAACAATGGTGTTGTGGTGGTGGTGGGACGGTGAGTGTGAAATTGGAAGGAGGAGGAGTATTCATCAGAAGACAGAGAAGCAACTCGTTCGATTCTTTCATCAAGTTTGTCGCTTCGAATTCGTCGGCTGATTTCTCGTGATGAAATGTGAAAGAGGAGAGAATTGGATTTTTTTTCTTCAGAAGAAAAGAAATGATATGACTTAGAAAGAAAAATATTTTTACCAAAACGTTTTGGTGCCAAAAAGTGATTTTTCAGTAAGTATTTGGTGCCTAAATGTGTTATAGAGATAAACATTGGATAAAGATAAACATTGGATTTTTGTCTGAAATTTGAGATATTTTACATTTATTATAGCGTTTACTTTTGGATCTACAATGGTAAGACACCTACACTTAGCAAATTAACGCGGCTAAAAAAATAATTTTCCCGCGATAACAAATATAGCGTTTAAATTGATAAAACGCTATAAAAAAAAGCAACTATCAATATACAATAGCATAACTGTAATAAACGCTATAATCCGATGCTATTAATACCCATATTTCTTGTAGTGGTTCCCGTGGGTTTCTACCCTGTTATTAAAGCATGGGATCTTTTAACCGGTCGAGTTCAGCTCATATGGCTGGCTTGAAAGGAAAAGCAATTTTAATTGATGATGATGACGAGCCAATAAAGCTTACAGAGAAAGATGATGCCTTTGTCATCAAGGAATTCTGATTATCTTTGATCGGAAAATAATCAACCCCAAGAAGCAGAGTGTGGAGAAGTTAATTCAGAAGATGCCACAGCAGTGGGGTGTCCAGGATAAAATTACGGCCAATGACTTGGGTAATGGTAAGTTTCTGCTCAACTTCAACACTGAAGAAGACCTTAATGGTGTGCTCCGTCAGGGTCCTTTTCACTTCAACTATTGCATGTTTGTGCTGGTGCGTTGGGAGCCTATTGTTCATGATGACTACCCTTGGATTATTCCTTTTTGGGTCACGTTCATTGGCATGCCATTGCATCTATGGACTGACAAGAATATGAGGAACATTGGGGACAGGCTAGGTGAAGTTGATACCGTTGATCTCTCGGGGGGCCGCCTACTCATTCACATTGATTCTCGTAGACCTTTGAAGTTCAAGCGGAAGGTGCAGAGCCCGGAGGGCGACGAGTTCACCATATAAATTAAGTATGATGCACTATTTAAACATTGCACAATCTGTGGCCTTATGTCACATGAGAAAGGCTATTGTCCTTCTTCAGCTCAACCAGAGAAAGGGGATGTGTTCACTCGCGTCCAGCTGCCAAATCTCGGTAATGATCATCAGCCTTTGCTGAAAGATCAATCAACTCATCGGCAGGTATACAAGAGCTCAGTTCATGGGGTTGGAGAACATTCCAGTAGGCGTACGGAAGCAGAATCTCGCATGGTCAATCCACGTTCTGGGAGCAAAGCAAGAAACGACGTGGACAACAATTATTATGCGCATTACAGAGGTGTTTCACAAAGGCTCCCTAGCCGCTTTGATCGAATCATGAGGAGGGAAGGAGTACAACGTAAGGACAGTTATTCTCGCCAAGCGTACAAACCATACGATCGTAAAAGAGAACAATCTTGGCGTGAAAAGAAAAAGGACAAGAAGGAAGTTTCCATTGATAGTGGAAAGGATGATCTTATATCATCTGGTGCAATTGTTCCTTATGGACAAGCAAGATCTTCATCTACAAAGGAACGTGAAAGATCAACTTCTCTAAACAATGGTGATTCCTACGATCACAAAGGAGAGGGACAAGAACCAATTCCACACCAAGAAAGGAAAAAAGTGGCTAGTACAATAGTTTCTCCAGCGCTTCGAATCCATTCAATGGAGGAGAGAATGTGACAATCCGCAGCACGAGCGTCACACGCTCTCTTGCTTTTGCACCACAAGCTGAGGAGAAGGAAATACAAGATGATCAGGTCATTGAAGCTCTAAGTGGAGTGGATCAAGAAGCGGCTAAGCAGGATGCAATGCTGATGGATGAAGACAATCTCCTAAGTGAAGAACTTGTAAACTTTGAAGCAGCAACATCAGAAACAGCTACTACGGTGTCTCACCGGCCTTTAAGGACTTCCAGAAATTCGAGGAATGGAAGTAGAAGGATCTCTCTGATGGGCATCCAAAATAAAAAGCAAGGGTTCCTCCGTCGAGGCTCTCCCCGCCTGCGATCGACAATCTCCTCTACTCAGCGAGTGCCTGCTGAGAATGAGAGATCCAGAAATGCTGACTCAAATACTAAGAAGGCACGATCAAGATCAAACAAAGGAAGTGGTTCGATGGGATCCAAAAACCCATCCCCCTCCCATCCATGAGGACAATCAGTTGAAACTGTCGAGGGATTGGGAGCGATCTCACAGTTCGACGCCTTACGGAGATGTGTCAGAAGCATCACCCAAGATTTGTGTTCCTTTCTGAAACAAATAATAGGAGGCTGCTGTTGCAAGACATTCAGGCCGATTTAGGATTTGATTGTTTGTTTACCGTTGAGCCACTTGGTCTCGGCGGAGGTTTAGCTTTATTTTTTAAGGATGAATTTCAAGTTAATGTACTTTTTTCAAATAACAGAATGATTGACATTGAGGCAGTCATTGATAGAATAAAAGTCTACATGACATTTGTTTATGGGGATCATGTACTAGAAAGGAGAGATTTAGTTTGGGAGCGTCTTACGCGTTTCTCAACTACAAGAAATAGACCTTGATTCATGATAGGAGATTTTAATGAAATTACCTGTCATGCAGAAAAGGAAGGAGGCAGACAACGCCCTGATAGCTCTTTTCTGCCCATTAGACGAATGTTAAGTGATTGTGGTATGCTGGAGTTTCCTTTCACAGGAAACATGCTATCTTGGGTTGGAAATAGAGCAGGGAGGACGACAGTTAGATGCCGCCTTGATAGGGCTGTTGGGAATGAGGATTGGCATGAGAAATTCCCTCATTCCAAAGTGAAGTATATGAGACTCTGGGGATCGGATCATCATCCGATACTAGTTGATATTCTAAAAAAGAAACCTAGGAGAACAAGAAACTTTAAATTTGACAAGAGATGGTTGGATAACGATGAGTTAAGGCAAATTATACTTGAGGGATGGAAGTCACGGGACCTCCCACCAGATGCAAGTATAATGGAGCATATTGCAAGTGCAGGCGTGCGTTAAGTGACTGGAAAAAAGCAGCATAATCTGAACTCAGAGAAAACTGTGGAGGAGCTCAAGGAAAAGGTAGATCGTTTATCTTCAAACGATGATGCCACTACTGAGGAGATTGCGGAAGCTATTAAGGAGCTATCCGACGCTCTTAAGGCGGAGGAGATGTTTTGGAAGTAGAAGTGTAAGGTTTTCTGGCTGAGAGAAGGGGATAGGAATACTAAATTTTTTCACGCCCTTACGAAGCAAAGGAGAGCAAGGAACATGATTACCCAATTACTGGATGAAGATGGAAATGTTGTAGAGGATGAGGAAAGATTGGTAGCCATTGCTACAAATTACTTTAGACACATCTTTCAATCATCAAATCCTGAGGCAATAGAGGAAGCACTCTCTGAAGTATCAACCACTATTACTCTCACAGATAATGAGACTTTAATAGCCCCGGTCACTGAATGGAAGGTTAAATTGGCTATGTTCGCGATGTACCCAGAGAAAGCTCCAGGACCAGATGGAATGACGGCGCTGTTTTACCAGAAATTCTAGGATATTGTGAAGGAAGATCTAACTCTTATGGTTAATCAATTCTTATTTGACGGAACAGTGCCATCTGGATTAAATGATACCAACATATGTCTCATTCAAAAAGTGGATAAGCCGAATCAGATGAGTCAATTACGCTCTATTAGCTTATGAAATGTTAGTTATAAGATTATCTCTAAGGTCTTATGCCAGAGATTGAAAAAGTTCCTACCAGACAGGATTTCAGAGACACAGTCAGCATTTGTTGCTGGGAGACAAATATCTGACAACATTATGATTGCTAAGGAATTGTTCCACGCCTTAAGAACTAAACCGAGTGGCAGAAACAAGAGGATAGCTATCAAAACAGATATGAGCAAGGCATATGATAGGATGGAATGGTCCTTCATTGAGGCAAATAGATGGGATTTTCTGAAGTCTGAATATCTATGATAATGAGATGCGTAACATCAGTAAAGTACAAGGTACTCATGAATGGACAGCCAAGAGGGAATATTGTCCTGGAGAGAGGTCTATG